TCTGCGTTGGGCGAGATGCCCGGCTAGAGCTTGCTGCTGCTTTTCCCTTGAGCTTTCCAGTTTGTGGATACATCTCCCATTTCTGGTGTATTTCCATGAATAAACAGGAAAATCTTCCGCTCCCTTCCAGTCACCCGTTTAGGGAGATGGCTGCGCTGAGTGTAAAGCCGGGGCAGCGGTTCACCGTGCCGGAGTGGCACACCGACGTCCAGCTCACCTCGGCTGATGCCGAACGCCAGCGTTCCGCTTCCCACCAAGTCCGGCAGGAAGCACGAGCCCTCCGCAATGAAACCAACAACCAGGTGGGCCTTCTGGCAGCTTGGCTGCTCCCAGCTTTGTCAGAAATAACGGGCTGAGGAGCATGGGAGAGCGTCTAGAGGTGGGTGTATGGACAAGGGAATGGGAGAAGGCTTTGCCTCTACAGAACCTGCTAAATACTTTACTTCCTATAAACGCCGTGCGGTGACGCGTGGGTGCTGTCATCAAATCCCTGGGGGTGATTCTCGTGCCCGATGCAACTTGGGTTGTTTTCTGTGCTCTCCGTTTGCGTAGACGACTGTTACCCCGAACGGCAACATGTTGTACTCCTGTGAGGGGTCAGTCAATCCTGAAAACAGGGAAAAGCTTCAGCAATATCCACAACTGCAATTTAAAAAAGAGTCATGGCGTTTCTCCTCTAATTCCAGACGAAATGGGATGAGCATGACAACCAAACCCGCCTGGCTGAACGTATCAGCAGTGTGAACAGATGGAAAGAGACCCTGGACAAATGCCTCGCAGACATAGATGCGGAAATCGATGCCTTAGCCAAAGTATGTCGGGAAAACAGATGGCTGGGAATCAACTTACACTCTCAACATGGGATGTTAAATAATTGAGGCTTGTCTTCTGCAATGGGCAAGCCCGTCTGGAGTTCAAGGAGGGGCTTATTACGGGTATCCTGAGATCCATACCTGATGAAATGACTTCATGGAAAGCAACGTGCTGTGTTCTTGGCTGAGCCAAGGCATTGTGTGGAGCTGTGCATTGCATGCTCATGTTTGGGTTTTGGGTGGGTTTTGTTGGGTTTTGTTTTGGTTTTTTTTAAGTTCTGAAGGATAATGAGAAATATGTTAACACTATCATTCAAAAATGTTTGATTTTTAAATAGAGAATAGCAGTGGGACGCCTCTCTGATTCTTTTAGTTCAAAACCAGAGGCTGCTGCTGCTGGAGTCGTTAGCCCCCAGCGAGGTGTGATTCCCAAGGCAAATAGCAGAGGTAGAGCACTAATGTGTTTGGCTCTTGCAGTTTTCATTCCAGACTTGCTAAAAAGTTTCAGAACTGCAAAGACAGGCAGTGGGGGGTCCTCCTAGCAAGGGTATCAGTGGGTTCCCCTTCCTTTCTTCTTCCTGTCCCTGAAGGAGACCCTCCCCACACCCAGCTGGTTTCTTCCTCCAGGTGAAGGAAGCAGCAGAATGTGCCCTCCAGGCAAAGAACTTGCCTTTGGACGTTTCCATTGAGTGCCTGATGCTCCGAGAGGGCCGCTGCTCCATCGATGTGGTGAGGGACCCTGTGGAGGAGGAGCTGCATAAGGAGGTGAAGGTGATAGATAAAGTCAAGAGAGAACTGCAGCAGAGAGTGAACGAAGCCTTCGAACAGCTCTGGTGAGGCTAATGACACAGCTTTCGACCAGACTCTGTGCTCCTTGCTTGACCCCAGCAGTTAAATGTGCCTCTAATGCCACGCTGAGATGGGCAAGCGGGCCAGGCACGGTTACCCTGGGGCAGTGAGCCCCTCCGAGGAGCCTTTGGTGATTATTGTCAGGGTCTGTGGAGTCTGGGGGCTTGTAGGGGAGAGTATGTCAAGGGAGACTTCATAAGCATCCGCGGAAAATTTTGGCCCGGACAGATATCTTGTGCCACCTGCCTTGGTTCATGAACCAGTGACCTGGAGGTGTTAAAGCTCCCAGGCCCCAATCCTTGTGGGTCACTGCCCGCTGCAGGAGGGCGGGTGGCTCAGTTCACCAGCACGCTGCCAGGGCAGAGCACGGGGCAGGCGGTAAAGCAGACGTGCTGGAAGTAAACTCATCCCTCTTCTTAAAAAGGTGACGGAGGTGGTGATGAAAGCTTTGGAAATTGTGAGCTGCCTCTCCCCTCCGCGTGCTCCCCGCTGACTCCAGCCCTGCTTTCTGCAGCCTCTTACAGGAAGCTCGCCAGCAGCTGAGCTGTGACCACCGGTGCAAGACGGAAGCATTGGAAGTGGATCGTGTGTGCTTATCCCTCAACGTGAACTCTCCCAACATCTCCTTCAAGGTCAACCCAACGCGGGTCCCAGATGGGTAAGGAAAGAGCCTGCCCTTGTGTGGCCAAATCCATGCTGATGCTTGAAAAAGCCCTGGGATGCTTTTTCCTTCCATGCTGTATCCTGGTTGGATGGGTGCAGTTACAGAGAGAGCTCAGAACAGGAGTTGGCTCTTGAATTGTGAAGCCACAGACTTCTGGGAGTTACCTAAATTGTCACCACAAAACCAGAAGCTGGCTGCCCTGCCTGCCTCGTGCTTGGCTGCAGGTGACCCTCAGTAAGCAGTGTGGAAGCAGCCTTTGGCACAGCTAACTGGGGAGCTGCTGCACATTTTCACTCCCGTGGCATTTCATAGCATGGTTTGGATGTGTCCCCGCTTTGAGCAGATGTTGGGCTCAGTGCAGGAGCCATGGGGTAGCAACTCCAGCTGGTGCAGCGAGGAGATCAGACAGGATGTGACCTCCAGAATTCCTGAGTCATTTTGCACTGCGGAACGCCGCCTTGGCCTGCAGCAGGTGGTTCCTTTTGAACTGTCTTGCAAACACAGCTCGTTTTCACAACTGCTGATTTGTTCACAGGTCGACTGCGCTTGCTGAGTGGGAACAGAAGAGCCGATGCAACAAGGAGCATGCTGAGGCAGAAATAAAAACCTCGACCAAGCTCCGAGAAGCAGCAGTGCTTGCCATTGCGCAGGTAAATCAGTCCCTTGGCTGGGAATCGGTGGTGCAGAAGTTCTGGATCCAGTGTGGGAGAAATGGCTGGCATGTGCTGTGGCCAGGGCAAGGGAGACAAGACAGCAGTGGCCCAGGGGCCTCTCTCTGAGAGCAGCTGCCCTCCTGGTTTGAACGGGGAGCTGGTTACGCTGCAGAGCTTGCAGCAGTCTCAGCAACCTGGAAGACACGAGCCTGCCCACTGGTCCCTGCCTTTTGGCTACAGGGGGTGCGTGAGCTGCACAGGCAGGGCAGCGCCAGAACCCCGCTGGTTTTGCTCGTGGGCTTGTCCCAGCCTCCCAGCAGGTCGTCTCATGGAATGGTCACATTGGCAGCTGCTGGGAGGGAGACACCTTCTAGACGTGTGTGACTGAAGCTGCTTCTCTCTTCAGACAAACAACGAGCTGGAGGCTCAGCGTGTAGCCACAGAGTTCGCCTTGCGCAAGAGGATTAGAGACCTGGAAAGAGCCTACGATGAGCTGAAATGGCAGGAGCAGAATGTAAATGTTGCTTCTTTTGTTATCGAGCACAACCTTGGGTGGGATTTGAATCCAAGAGGCTGTTTGTTATGTGCAGAGCTGCTTGGCCTGAGCAGGGTTTCCACAGGAGAGCTGTTGGGTGGCAGGTGTATGATCCCTGCAACATCCCACCTCCTCCTCCCATCACAGCTGCTGCACTGGCATTTCCCAGCAGCTGTGCCAGGTTTTGGCCTTTTTATTTCACCCCTGCTCTCAACCACTGTGGCCATAAAGCCCCAGCAGCACCATGCCTGGTCTGTGTGAAAAGCCCCACCTATAAGCAGAGGGGTTCAGTACTCAGAAGCCCACCAGCCCTTGCTTAAAATTCACTCCCAGCACGGTAAAAGCTCAGGATACATGGGGGCTGTTTCCCAGCCTGTATCCCTGGCTGTCCCTGATGATACGTGTCTTTATCCTTAGACCTTGGAGGAAATTGCTGAGATGGAGGAAGACATCCGATGCTTGGACGAAGATCTTCGGAGGAAAATACAAGATCTGAAAGTGGCACACACCCGCCTGGAGACCCGCACATATCGGCCCAATATGGAGCTCTGTCGGGATCAGGTACCAGCCTGGCACGCTCCCTGCCAGGAGGGGCTGGGGGAAACTGACCGGGGCGGGGGCTTGCGTGGGTCTCAAAAATGGAGCAAACTACAGAGGGGCTGAGCAATGGACCCCACAGTCACGTAGCAAAGGAAGGAAATAACTGTCGTAGCTGGGCTACAACGGGAACGAGAGAAACAACACTTCAGCCCTGTTAACTGCTGTGCCCTTCTCCCTCCGCGCCTCGCAGGTCCAGCACGGGCTAACAGATGAGGTCCACCAGCTGGAGGGAACGATCCGTGCGCTCAAACGGAAGCTGGCAGAGTCACAGTGAGTCTCTTGCTCCCTGGGGCAGAGCAGTGGCCCGGCGTTGCCCACGTGAGGGACCTGGCTCACTTCCAGAAGCTGCATTTTGGAACTCGTGTCTGCTCAGATCAGGAGTGGAAATAGTCTTTGGGCTCGGTGGGGAGGTGGACTGGGCAGCAGGGTGCAGGCGAGGCACGAGAGGTCTGTGCAGTGCGAGCGTGAATGGGGTTCCCATGGTCCTTGCTTGACTCTTCCACCAGGCACAGGCAGTTCTAAAAGGGGAAAAAAAAAAAAAGAACAAGCGAAAAACAAAAAGTGAAAAGAAAAGGAAGAAATAGAAGTGCTGCTCTGGGCTGGTGCGGGCTCCCAGGGCGCGCATCTCTGCACTGCGCTCCAGGAGCAGCGTGTGGGCTGGCTCTTCCCAGACCCAAACAATGCTGCTGCTGTGCACCACGAAGTATCTGAGGCGTTTGTTCTTCATACAAAGGCAAACGCTGCGAGGATCTTTCTGCTGCCAGAAAGTGGGAAGTTGGGTGTTTCCTGTCCAGCTTGGGAAATGAATTGCAGTGCTTGAACCCGACTCCTCTCGCTTCTGCTTGTTCCCAGGGATGCCTTGGACACTCTTTACAGACAACTTCACCGCATTCGGGCGTCTGTTGACTGCAAAGCCAGTTCCCTGGTGCTGGACAACAAGTGCCTGGACAGCCGGAGAAAGCTCGTGCTCCCTGATGAGAAATTTGTGCCAGAGCTCGACACTTTCCACCGGAGCACGAGCCGTGCGCTCTCCTCGCTGAAGAGTGGGCAGCTGGCGTAGTGCGCCGGGGAGCGTTGTGTGCAACGAGCCGCGCTGGAGAAAGCTCCCAGTGACTCAGTTCCCAGGCAAGGAAAGCGGACATCTGCGTTGCGTTAGGATAATGTAATCCTCCTGCCTCCTCCCAGTTTGTTATATAACCGTCTGTCCCCTTCTATGATGTTTATAGCCTCTCGCGCTCCGAGGAGCGTTATAAACAATAAAGAGTCTGTCCCCGAGAGCGGTTGTCATCCGACAGCGTTGGAAGCGTTTCGCGGTGATTGGATCCATCTGGGCTCTTGTTCGAAGCCCTTGGAAGCGCAAGGCTGCGCTCCGGCGAGGGGCTGCGCAGCGCTGGCAGCAACCCAGAGCTGCTCCGTGGGCGTACTGACTCGAACCCGCTCGCTTTAACGATGAAAGTGAAGTTGGGGTTGGGATTTCCCTTTGCCTGCTCGCCCCGCCGAGCTGACACGGCTCCCACAGCCCCGAGCCCGGG